AAGAGTTGATTTATGACTTATAGTTATGTAATTATAATAATAATTAATTGGTGTGTTAAATAATAATTGATTAATAGGGGCTTATTTCTACTTATTCGTAGTTGATTCAAGACCTGGTAATTCTAATCACAATAACCCGTTAACTCCTAGGTAAATCTATGCTCTATAACTACAATTCTTATGTCTAAATTACTGCTTAAAAAAAGTATTAATTCAAATTTCTATACTTCTGATTACCAATAAGTTAATATGTGTAGGAATTGTAATTCTAATATAGCAATATATCAATATATGAAAATATTATTTGTACAGATAAATATAAATGTAAATAGATATAATTAAATACAATTAAATGGTTGAATAAATAGATATAAATCTAATAAACTCTATAAGAATATATCTTGTATATAAGCAATTAATTAATATAGAGATCTACGCTTCTTGTTGATAACAATGTTAATATGCAGAAAATCAAAATATTAAAAAAAGATTTTTCAGAAGAAAGAGGGAAAGAGAGGGGAAAATCTCCAAGTTTTTAGTTGGGGGCAAGCAATATTTTCCCAAAAGTAAAGGGGTGATATTCTTTCTTTCTCACTCAGCCGCCAGTCTCATCCAGTCCTGTCTTCTTCTCACGTTTACTTTGCCACTGTCAAAACTCTATGGTAAGCCTCGAAGCTAGATCGTCTCCGTGCCTGTCCTTTTCAGTTTGCTCTGTCAGACTTCTTCAATGGCTGCACTTCCTGTTCTCTGGCACAATTAGATAGAGTCCAATCTCCAGCTTAGTTCATCTTTCTGCTTTAACCAGCAAATAGAGAAAAAAAAGTTCTTCTGAATTCTTTTGGCTTCCTTACTCCCTATACCCACCGATCCTCTTCTTACGCAGGTAATTCAGCGACCTCAATTTCTTGTTCTCTACGCCGGCTTGTCGAGCTCCGTGATCTTTCAGTCTATTCTCCACTCTCCATCGCCGCTCTTTTCTGTTTAAGCCCTTCTCGCCCGACTCCGCCGGCCCCTTCCTGATGTTCACTCTCACGTAGGCAGGGAGGACATGGTTCAATCTCGACACTGCAGCCTCCGATCTTCCTTGCTTCCCGTCTGGTTGTCAGCTACCACAGCTTCGGGTCAGCCATTGAAAGGCTGACTTCACACGCGTTGGCTTGACAGAGCCGCCCGGTTTAGCGAGAAGTGTGTGCGCTTCACTTTCTCGCTCACCCGTCTCTCTCTATTGTCCGCGGGGCTCTCCAGGACCCGCGCCCCCGAAGGGATCCCCAAAACGCGGTGACAAACGGTGTTGAGGGGTGACAGTCACTCACTCAGCACCATGTCGCTGCAGCTCGCCAACCGGAAACCCCATGATCGCGAAGTATCCATGAAATATATTTATTCCAAGAATTGTACTGCTTGCTATTTGGCTTCTGGGTGCAATTGTGGATTCATGATTCCTGCTTGAAGAGCAGGTGGCAATCCTCCTTAGCAGAATTTTCATGCAACTTTGTGTTGTATATCAATTGTACCCTTTCCTGGATTGTGAAGCCCAGCACTCAGTCACTCATGCCCCATCATCGCTTGGTTGGAATACTGCAATGCGGTCTACATGGGGCTACTTTTGAAAAGTATTCAGAAACTACAACTGGTACAGAGCGCAGCAATGTGGGCAGTTCTGGAGGCTCTTTTAACATATACATTTTATAAACAAATTCAAATGTTGCTTATTATCTTTAAATTTGTTCATGTTCAGAGCCTGGTATCTCTGAGATCATTTTATTCCCTGTCCCTCCCTATAGGTTCTGGCAGGGCAGGCTTCTATATATCCCCTGATTGCATTTATCCAAAGTGTAATCTGCCCTTTCCCTTCTGGCATTTAGGAAGTTGATGAAAACTTAGATGTTTCTTCAGACTACTAATTTTATTAGTTACAATTCCAACATCACAGGAATATTGCTGTTTTTAACTATGTTTTTAATCCTTAATATATTCAGAAACAGTGGTGGGTTGCTCCCGGTTTGCATGGCCCCCACCCTTTGGCCTGTGCCTCGCAGCAGTTACCTTCTTGCAAGCAAACAGCAAGAAAAAACAGCTCCTTTCAGCTTCAGCACAGCCTAATTAGCACAAGTTGATTAGATCGGCCTCCCGACTCTCAGCTGATTTGCTCTCAACTGTTTTGTGCAGGGTTCTGCTGCTTGCCGCAAAGGGGTAAATTGCTGGACCAGATTTTTTTTCCCCTTGTGCTAATCAAGCTATGCTGAAAACGAAAATGAAAGTAAAGCAGGCTGTTTGCTGCAATGTCGCAAAATTAGGCACAGGCAGAGGGAGATTTCTTTTTCTTCTTTTTCCTCACCAAAAAAGGTAGGTGCAAACAATGGGCAATTTAGGGCAAAAGAGGAGAGTTCAAGATTTTAAAACATAAAAGAAAAAAAGGAGAAAGAAAAAGGCAAAAAGAAAAATGGGGAAGGGAGAAAAAGAAAAATAAAAAAAAATAAAAGAGAAAGATGTTATACATATTTAGAATTGAAATATGAATAGTAGTAAGAAATAAATGGGAAATCATTTGTAAAAATGAAATGAATAATTGGAATATTTGTCTTTGTATTTTTGAAATCTAGATAATGATAAGTTTTTATTTTTTTATTTTTTTTAGAAATATGAATAAGTATAAATTGTAATAATTGAGATACCTTTAATGGTATATGATGGTGAAAGTAAAAAGGATTAAGTTGTAGCTTGGATAACAGCTAGAACATTTTAAAATTTAATTAGGGAAATTGTAACGATTGAAATATTTTTAATTATATATTGCGATGAAAGTAGAAATGATTAAGTTGTGATTTGGAGGATTATATGGGCAAAACTATTTGGGTTATTGGGAGAGTTTAAGAAGTGAAAATGAGTAACATAAAGGGAAAGCTCTATTTAACTAGGGAATTGTAATAATTGAGATACTATTGTTCAACTATTGTGTTGAAAGCAGAAATGGTTAAATTGTGGTTTAGAGGAATATATGGAGGAAATTATTTGGTTTATTATTATTGGTAAATATAATTAATTGATTTGTAAGAAATTGGATTGCATGGAAATAATTGGAATATTCATGTTCATATTGATTAATATACAAAAAAGATAGTTATATAACTAATTGATTTATATTAAAATGTTGAATTTGTATTAAACAATTGTAATATTACATAATTAACCAATGTGAGGATGGATATAAAAATAGATGACAATGGGAAGGGGTATAATATAGAATAGAAGGGAAAAATTGAATTTGATTAAGATTAGAGATGATGAAAGGTAATATTGGTTTTTTTAAAAAATAGATGAGGAATAATTATGGCAAAAAGGAAATATAGAAATTGTAAATTTAATTGAAATGACTAAACACTGTTTAAATTTGTGAACTGGCCAAATACTCTGTTCAAAGAAAATACATTGTATGTTTGTATGTGTGTTTGTCTAAAAAACAAAGCAAAACAACTTTTTATAAAAAAAACAAAACAGAAAGGTAGGTGTGTCTTATACTCCAAAAAATACGGTAGATATCCAGGTTCCAGGCAACATTGTCTTGGTTTCTGCATGGTCTTCTACTGATCCCCCTCTGCTGAAAATAGTCTTTGCAAATATGCCTCTTGCTTATCTAGTGGTCACCATAATAGCCATGGGTTGTTACACTATTAAAACTGGTTTACATGATATTCCTCAATCAGAGGCAGATATAATGCCTAAATCCGTGATGGTGAATCCACATGTGCCAGAGGTGGCATGCAGAGCCTTCTCTGTGGGCACGTGCACTGTCACCAGCTGCTCTTCTGGTTTCTGGCGTGGGCATGCGCGCTGGCCAGCTGGTCTTCGCACGTGCCAGAGCGCCAGAAACCCGAAGATCAGCTGGCCAGCACGCATGCACACACCAGAAACCAAAAGACCAGGTGGCTGGCATGTGGATGCGCACCAGCCAGCTGGTGTTTGGGTTTTTGGTGCACATTCCAGTTTGGGCACAGTGCTGAAAAGGTTCACCATTACTGGCCTAGATCTTCTGTGGAGGATGCAATCTTATTTTTCTTTAGGAGTAAAGGAGATGGGGTTCCTATAATCTGTCAGAAGCCCTCTAAAACTATTACTCTGCTAAATTTAATATTTAAGTTAAATACTCAGCTAAATTCAGTCCTTTCAAAACTAAAAACCAAGCATTTTGACCTCTCTTGAGTTTCAGGTTCATGAAGTTTTGGCACTGTAACTTTCATAAAGATGCATTTTGTAGCTTTCTCTCTGTTTTTCTAATTCAACATTTTATAAAATATTTGGTCCTTTTTAGTCACCTACATTGTTACTAGTCCCAGCTTAATTTTTTATGATCCTATTTGATTGTCAAAGCTTTGGTTGTGGCTAATGCTCACATTCATCTTTCCAAATACCACACTTTCAATAGCCATTATATTAGCTTGCCAAGAGGGAGAGTTATATGGAGTGCATCAGGATCAGCAGTTCCTTAACTTTTATTGGGATAAAGTGCCTTTCATCCAGATATTTCCTTTCTATCACATGCCACTTGGGACTGGACATTTTCTCTGTCTTTTTCCTTATCATACGTGATATGGGTAATGGAAGGATTTCTGTTAGGAAATCCGTAAGCAATAAAGGTTTTTGAACAGGCTCTGTAGTCACAAAATCCAAGTCTGTGAATCCACAAAAGGCAACTTAAAAGTTAATCAGTACTGTACAAGTCTGAACATGGCTATGACTTAAGATTACTGTAATATTTTTTTGGGTTGGTTAGTTGGCTTGATTTATTTTGAAAACCAGTTTTTTCCTTTTGTTTTGCCTCAAAAAATTCTGATATTGCACACAGGCTCAAGAAATCTAAAATTTCTAAAATGGCTCATGGAATCTAAAATGCATACCATGCTGTATTGTATTTTTTTGCAGGAAATTTACTGTATGTTAAGGGTAGTGATCCCTTTCTTGAAGAAATGTTTAATAGTTCATCTTTTTTTTTTATTTTCCAGGTCCTTGGAACTCCCACAAGAGAACAAATTAGAGAAATGAATCCAAACTATACAGAATTTAAATTTCCTCAGATTAAAGCACATCCATGGACTAAGGTGAGTCTCTTTGAAATGGTTGTGTGTATATGTGTGGCGGGGCATATTCAACACTGAGGTCTGTATGTTTATTTTCACAAGTAATAAACTGAACCATCACACTATATCATGTAATAGTTCTACAAATTGCTAATCTAATTATTTATCTATATTCAGAGTAATAATTTTGTTGATATGACTGAAACGTGCAGATTTTTCTTCTCATCTGCAATTCTCCATATTTCTACACAAGTTATTTTGAAGATTTTATGAGAATTACCAATGGCAATTTGGGATGGGAATGCTGCCATACACATTGAAGAAGAGGGAAACAGAATTCTTCTGCATAGAAAATGCCTTTTGCTTAAGTGATTTAAAAAAGGCTTTTAGAGTAGGTCTTTTTTGAACAGCATTGTTTCTTCTGTGTGAAAAGAGTGCCAAACAGATTGTGACTGAAACAGAGTAACAGCAAGAAAGAAATTTTTACCGAGATAGCACAATTTGGGGGAAAAAAATAGGTGGAAGGGAACCAGAAGGCACAATTTCTGGCCTCCAAATAAAATAAGGGTCCAGTGAAGCTAAAATATATTAAGTGGCAATCAAAATGGAATGGAGATGGCCAATCCACAGACTGTGGTCACACTCCACTTCTATCTTGGTTTTTGAAAATCCACTTCAGTGCTACTTGATGTTTTCACTGAGATTTTGCAAAAATAATAAAGTTACAATTTAAAGCCCATTTTTGTTCCTTAATGTTCCCAAACTCTTCCTAAAAAATGAAAACATTGAAGATTTCAGCCACACTCCCTATACTTCTCAGAGGCTAAACATGTATTTTAGAGTACAATTATGGCCTAAAGGTTTACAAAAATTTACAGTTGAACAATAAAAAAACATAACTATTCACATGTCCATGCAACTTATCAGTTTTATCTCCAGTCAAAAGCATAATACAGAGTTTTCTTTCTTCCATATATCAGTTAAATTAGACTGTTCTTTTTTACAAGAATGAGAAACTAATCTTTTTGAAGTTTGTTTTTCGCTTGTTGAAAAAGCTGGCCAGGCCCTCCCTTTCACAGGGGGTTCTTTCTCATAGGTGAAGTTTGCAGTTTCACAGTAGCTTTTACTCCAATTATAGACTCATATTTGCAGTTTGAGGACACCTTGCAATTGTACCAAAGTTTACTTTCTGGCAAGGGATATAGTGTAAAGATTGTTGAAGCTATAGGATGATATGAGAACAATCAACTAGGTGAAAAAACACTGCAGCCATTAGCTGTAAAAGTTCATTCTTGCTCATTTTATTTCTATTTCAATGATCAATGTGGACAGTAGTGTTGCTGAACCTCAGTCAAGCTCTGTGGTGTGTAGTCTGTTGAAAGGAACAGATGGAACATTAATAGAAGAGCTTATTTTGTTGATCTAACAGTTTGGAAGCAATATTTCTGAACCCCAAAAGGATCCTGCCAGTGATCTAACATTTGTCAGTTTGAGTCTCTTTCTTACTGACTTTTAGGAATAAAGAAGTTTAAATTTTATTATTTGTTTTATATTAGACTGGATCTTGATGATGATACTAATTACCTCATTGTCTGCACCTGAGATCTTAAAATGATAAATCTTTTTAATATAACCATTAGATTATTTTGAGAAATCAGAAGCCTAAGGCATGACATCATAGCCAGTCTGAACTGAAACACATTCATGCACCTTTTATTAATTGATTTTTAGTGATTGGAAAAGAAAGGAAAAGAAATCAACATTCTTAATTCATACATACACCATGTGCACAATTATTAGGCAAATTATATTTTGGAGGATTAATTTTATTATTGAACAAGTACAGTGCTCTTGGTCAATCCAAAACATTAATAAACCTTAAACCTGAATATTTAAGAAAGTAAAAGTGAGGTTTTGGCTTTCTTAGGAGAATATCTATGTGTGTATAATTATTGGGCAAGTATTAATATGCAGAATTAGAATGCAACTAAATGAAAAATGAAAATTTGCCCAGCTCACTCATTTATTTCCATAAATGTTAAAGTGAGAATAATAAACAAACAACTTAAAATGTACAAATAAACATTTCTGACATTTCAAAAAAATAAATAAATCAGTGACCAATATAGCCACCCTTCTTTTTAATAGCAGTCATAGGTCTTCCATTCATGGAGTCTGTCAGTTTCTTAATCTGTTGACTTTTTGTGCAGCAGCAAGCACAGCCTCCCAGACACTATTCAGAGATGTATGCTCCTTTCCTTCACCATAAATCTCTCGTTTAAGAAAGGCCCACAAATTGTCAATAGAGTGAAGAAGGGGGCCAGGTCATTACTCTGTCATCTTTAATGCCTTTACTGGCTAGCCACGCAGTGGAGTACTTCAATGCATGTGATGGAGCATTGTCCTGCATAAAAATAATGGTCTTCTTGAAAGATGCAGACTCTTTTCTGTACCACTGCTTGAAGAAAGTGTCTTCTAAAAACTGGCAGTAGGTTTGGGAGTTGATTTTGAGTCCATCTTCAACCTGAAAAGGTCCAACTAACTCATCTTTAATAATACCAGCCCATACCAGTATCCCACCTCCACCTACCTGGTGTCTGAGTTGAAGTGGATCTCTGTGCCTGTTACTGATCCACCCATGGGCCCATTCATCTGATCTGTCCAAAGTCACTCTCATCAGACCATAAAACTTTTGAAAAATCTGTCTTCAAATATTCCTTGGCCCAATCTTGCCATTTCAACTTATGTGTCCTATTCAGTGGTGGTTGGGTTTTAGCCTTCCTTACCTTGGCCATGTCTCTGAGCACCGAACACCTTGTACTTCTGGGCACTCCAGGTAGGTTGCAGTTCTGGAATATGACAGCACTGGAGGATAATGGGTTCCTGGTAGCTTCACATTTGATTCTTCTCAAATCTTTGGCAGTTAAGGTGCGTCTTTTTTTCAACACATTTCTTGCGAAACCTGTTGACTATTTGCAATGAACTGTTTGATGGTTCTGTGATCACGCCCCAATATCTTAGCAATTTCAAGAGTGTTACATCCCTCTAAAGACTTTATACCATTTTTAACTTTCTTTTGGCCCATTTTTCCTGAGGAAAAGAAGCTGCCTAATGATTATGCACACCTTGATATAAGGTGTTGATCTCCTTAGGACACACCCTCCCTCATTACACAAATGCACATCACCTGAAATGCTTATATCCACTAAGCATTCAAGATTATACAGCTTGGAGATGGAAAATATGCATAAAAATGATGATAGAGCTTTTTATATGGGATAATGCAAAATATGCGGGACGCGGTGGCTCAGTGGCTAAGACGCTGAGCTTGTCGATTGAAAGGTCGGCATTTCAGCGGTTCGAATCCCTAGTGCTGCGCAAAGGGATGAGCTCCCGTTACTTGTCCCAGCTTCTGCCAACCTAGCAGTTCGAAAGCAGTTGCAAGTAGAAAAATAGGGACCATCTTTGGTGGGAAGGTAACAACATTCCCTGCGCCTTTGGCATTTAGTCATGCCGGCCACATGACCATGGAGACGTCTTCGGACAGCGCTGGCTCTTCAGCTTTGAAACAAAGATGAGCACCATCCCCTAGAGTCGGGAGCGACTAGCACATATGCGCAAGGGGAACCTTTAACTTTACTAATGCAAAAATGTTGGTATGTTTGGGAAATGATAGGGTAAATTGAATTAAGGACTGTATTGGAGTGTCTGGTGAACCTTATCTTGAAGGTTGTAAAGAAGATGACTTTTGGGTTTAAAAATGTTAAAAAGGAAGGCCAGGTCCTGTAACACACAGAGTCTTTTTGTAACACTGTAACTTTATCTGACTTGGGAAGATGGAAGAAATTCAATTTTAAAAAATCCCTACAATTGGAATATATAAAGCACACATACACATACATACATATGCAAATTTAAACATATATATATATATATATATATACTCAGGTTTTCGCGGGTGTTTGTATGTAGGTCTTTGGTTATTCGGGTCTTCTCCCACATAAAATTGGAAGTGTCTTGGCGACGTTTCGACGAAGTCTCATTCGTCATCTTCAGGCTGGTGTTCTCGGCTTCGTGCTTCCAGGAGCAAATTGGGGTACAAAGCCGAGAACACCAGCCTGAAGATGATGAATGAGACTTCGTCGAAACGTCGCCAAGACACTTCCAATTTTACGTGGGAGAAGACCTGAATAACCAAAGACCTACATATATATATATATATATATACACACATACATTTATAAAATTAAATCCAAATATTAACAAAGTAAAATTACTTTACTCCTATGAAGTCCAGTTGTACCTTTTAATACCGTATTTTCCGGCATATAAAACGACTTTTTAACACATGAAAATCTTCTCAAAAGTCGGGGGTTGTCTTATACGCCAGGTGTTGTTCTCCTGTAACCAGGCAGACCAGCCCGAAAGGCTCTGATGAGCCTTAAATGGCTCTGATGAGCCAAGCTCTGACCATCCCAGCTGAGTTGCCTGCTAATCAGGCAACTCAGCTTGGATCACCAGAGCCATGTAAAAGGAAAAAAGTTTTCCCCTTCCAGCTTGCTTACCTTAGCTGCTAGTCGCAATGCTTGCCTTGCTTCGCTTGCCTGCAATCCATTCCATCAGCAAGCCACTCCCTGCCTGCAATCAAGCAGGCAGGGAGTTGTGGACTTCAACTCCCAGAATTCCTCAGCCAGCAAAACAAAGCTGGCTGAGGAATTCTGGGAGTTGAAGTCTACAAGTCTTAAAGTTGCCAAGGTTGGAGACCCCTGTTCTATTGGTTAAGTTTTTCCCCTTTGGGAGCTTTAAAAAAAGAGTTAATTGGGGTTTTTTTTAGTTGTTCTTTTTTAGACCTAGCCATTTAAAGTTTAGGAAGTTTTAAATTTAGCTTTCATATAAAAATAAAAATGAAATAAAATAATATTTGTGCAGCTTTCTGAAATTTAGTGTGTTTCTGTAGTGTTTCACTCTAACTATAACAAACATACAAAATCTCACAAAGCTGTATGTGGAATTTTGTGTGT